TTGAACTCGGGTCCTTGCGCTTGTGCAGCAGGCGGCGAAACCACTGAGCTAAATCCCCGGCCCTTGGTTGTAATCTTCTAGGTGCAAAGCCCACCTCACAAAGTTTTATTCCCTTAAGGTTTCTTTAGTCTTTTGGAGACAGTTTCTGTATTCTGAAGACTTATTTTCTCTTGCATCTGCTTGTGGTAATATTGGAGGCCGATCAATCCTCCAACTGCCTAGAAAGGGGGCGGCGAGGGCTAAAGAGAGAAAAAGACAACAGAGACGTGCGTGATTTCTAAGCACACGGGGGGCCGGGAGGTTAGCGCCTCCGAGTGGGCACAGACCCAGGTGCTCCGTACCGGCCAGCATTTATTGGGTGCACACAATAATAGAGGGAGCATCGGTGGCTTGGGGGCAGTGACCCTAGGCTGGTGCAGATGTCATGCTGACGAGGGTAGAAGGAGGGCATTGGCAGGACTGCAGGTGGGATGAGGGGGACTGATGAGGAGCTCGCCCTCCCCAGGTGAAACCTTTCTCTTCGGTGTTACTACCCGGTTCTCAAGGAACCAGGATGTCTTCATCGGGTGTCACCATGCCCTTGAGCATCACAGCCTCTTGGACCATTGAGGCCTCTGCTGTGACCAGAGGCAAAATGGACTTATGTTTCCACAGGCTGTCGCCGGCTCTCGGGCAAGGAGACATTGGGCCTTAGACAGCTGTAGTCATACTTTCACTAAGAAATGATTTTTTGCCAAATTTTATATAGAATGGCCTTTGACATGATAAGAACTTTTTGGGGGGGGGGCGCTGCACCTGCCTGGCAAGGGCAAGGTCCTGAGTTCAATCTCTAGTACTGGGGGAAAAAAAGATCATTTTGGGGGACCCTGTGTCTCGGGTAGAAGTAAACACTTTCTTGGACACTGTTGAGGGCTTCAGTGCTGATCTCTAGATAGACAGCCACACGGGGCCAGTCACATTGTGACGTCTTCCCTCTGCTCCCAGCAGATACCTGCTGCAAAGAGCTGGAGCCGCTGAGGAAGTGGTGGAATTAAGCCGAGAATCCTGCTTAACGTGAGGACTGAGCTGCAGCACATGAAAGATGAAAACAGGCGTATCTCTCCTGAAGCACATCAGTCACATAGTGCTTTCAACATTTCAGATCCCTTTGGCAAACTGTACTTCTTTCTAGGCAAAGAAGTGGGTATTTTGTTTGATCAAGAGCCATTTTCTAGATGTAGTAAAAACATTGGTGAGGCAGAACCTGGCCGTAGAGAGGGTGCAGGACCAGGAGTCGGGAGCAGGGTTTGAGTCCTGACTCTGCTGCAGTGTGGGGTTGGCTCCCACCCGCGGACGGTGGGGGCACCTCTTCTGGCTTCCTGCAGATGACTGAGGTGAAAGCTTGAGCACTCCGTACCAGTGTGAGTGACACTATTAATCACATATGTGTATTTGTTTGTCTTTGTGTACATATCATCCTTGCTCCAAAGGATGACCTATATTACAAATAATTTTTTAAAATGAATTCTGTTGATTAGATTGTACTTACCAAAGGACAAAATGGACTTAGACTAGGAAGCTCTTTCGCAATAAAAATTGAAGTACAAACTTTTTTTAACCTAACAGTAGAGTTATTACGAAGTGTCTTATAGGCAAAGCCTGTCTCTTAAGTGTTGTTTTTGTACCTGTGTTGTGTCAAGCATGAAAATCTAGGATAATCGTTAAGCATGAAGTTCGCTTCTTCACCCTTGGCCACTTTACCCCATTGTTCACTCTTAGAACCCCTCACCTGTGTAACTGCTCTGAGCCTGTTTTCTCCTGTGCTGTAAAAGGGGGAACAAGTAGGAAAAGCACCACCCCCCGGCGCTGTCCACAGTCCTGGGCAGAATTGCGTCTCCTTCCTGCGCTGCCTCTCCCAGCGGAGCACCCTGCTTTGTGGAGGGCCCTGCTTTGTGGAGGGCATAGGGGGCCGCTCCAGCCTCGCCAGTGCTCATCTTAGGTCTCTTCAGTGGCCTATCCTCGGGTGCAGGGCGAAGGGCCTGTGCCTAAACTGCAGCAGGACAGGATAATCACATGCCCAGCGCATGGGCAGTGACGTGACCGAGCCAGGCACCGGGCAGGGATCATGGTCCACAGCGGTAGAGCAGGAGCTGTGGGGGGGGCTCACACATCTCTGCCCCAGCTTCTCATGGCTGAATGGGGTGTGGCCCTT